GATGAACGGTTGTCCGACAACATCCGCCTGGGTTCGTGTTTTGCAGCGCAACCGATGCTCGTCCTGCCAGTGCTGCAGCTGACATTCACTGGAAAAAAATACTTAATTTTCACTTGACCAAATGAAAATCTCCCCAAAAAGAAGGGCGTCCTGAACTCTAGTAGAGGCTTGAAACCACCAAAAGCGCGGTAAATTTTAGCGCCAAATAATCCATGTTGGCTGGAATAATCCCTCAGCTCGACCTTTCGATAAAACGAGTATATGATAAGATCTGGCTCCAACCATTATCTGTTTAAGCTTGCCTAGAAAATCGTAATTTCGTAAATAAATCTGCTAATTTTTTTCTCGATAAAATTTTCGAGTTCGCGTGCTAAATGATACCAGAAAAGTACCTAATTTGTATGGGCTGGATTAATTCCTCAACCCATCTTTTCGATAAAAAAACGAGTAAAAGGCTCGGTTTCGAACATGCTCGTGGAAGTTCGCTCAGAAAATCTTAATTTCATTAATAAATTTGCTAATTTTTCGGCAAAATTTTCGAGTTCGCATACTAAATGGGACCGGAAGTACTTAATCTGTATTGGCTGGGTCAATCCCTCAACTCAACTTTCCGATAAAACGAGTAAAATAACCGACAGTTTCGATCACAATAAGTTCAAGCTTGTCCAAAAAACCTTAATTTCATAAATAAATTTGCTAACTTTTTTCGGGTAAAAATCTCGAATCCATGTACTAAATGGAACCAGAAATGCCGGAAATTAGACTTATTCATCTTTACCTAAAATAAGACTTTTCCACTTTCATCATCACATTATGCCATCTAGACATAGGTGAATAAAGAACCCAGTCGCAGTGTTGAGATAAGACGTATACAACTTAATGGACCAAAACCTCTGACCTCACCTACATTATTGTTTCTATTTAAATCAATTTTAAGTTTACTCACTTTTTCTAATTTTTATTGATAATCAATAATCATCATATCTTTTTTACCATTATTTTTTTATTGATAATCAATAATTATGTCGTTTTTTATCTTTTTTTGGCAAAAAAAAAATGTGAAAGAGACCGTTTGCAGTAGAGAACATCATAGCAACGTTCGCAGGCTTTCAGTTTCACATCTGTGCTAAGGCAATTTGCACAAGCTCGTTTGATCGATTTGCGAAACAGAAGACGCTGAACAACGGTGAGCTCAATAACCTCGTCATTGCAGTCACTCGGATCGTGAACTTGAAAGCTGAAACAGCAACAGATTCACAAAAATCACTTTGCCAACTGCGAGCTTTGATGAGATGCGTAGTGTAAGCGTACGTGATAGCTGAATTTGAAATCTTTAGCTCACACATGGATCATGAACCAGTGATTCTTTGACACTAAAAACTAAAAAAGTTACGATAAAACAAATGATGCGTAACGTTATGAAAAGTTGAAAACCAACGCGAAATCCGTGAAGCCAACAGATCGAAAAGCGAAGTGAATTTCTGGAATTTCAAATAAAAACATAATTACTC